GGCAGACATGCAACGGACAAATTCAGTGGCCTTGCTCATTGACCATATTCCATTTAATGAAGCATCACTGCAAGAGTCACACCTACCTAGTGTCACATTTAGTTTATATTGCTATTGCTAATGAGGAGCAACTTAACCTCTTGCAATTTTTTTTTTTTTTTTACCGATGTGAGAGACTGATTTACTTTCACATTCTTGTAGGATGGCTTTCTTTTCGTCATTATCATTATCAAATGTAACAGTGCATTCATCATTATAATACATTATCTTTTCTACCAAAAAAATGATATTCTAAACTAATTTTATTTATAAAAACAAAGATTTGAACTTAAGTACAAAAGAGTGAATACACTCTTTAAACAATTAATCGAATGCACGTCAGCTCCACCATTATAATACTTCATTCGCTTATTTAGTTTCAAATATTAAATGAGCATGTAGTAGGAATTTTAGGCATCATTTGGTTTTTAATTTTGAGAAATGCTAAGGAGATTATATGAGACTCTCTATAGATTCTCTGCCACCTCACATGTTTGGTACAATATTTTATAATGTTAGCAGGGAAATTGTGCCAAAAACATTAGATGACTGAGAGTTCATAAAGAGTCTCACTTTTAAAAGAATCTCCTTAGCATTTCTCTTTAATTTTTAAAATAGAAAAATTCATTTTAATCCTTAAAAAAAAGTTGAGTTTTAGACTATAATATTGTGTAAAATTAAAATCTAATTTTACTATCTGATACATTTAATTTTCTCATTTATTAATAGTATTTTGATGTTTTATTCCTTTCGTTTTTCCTATTTTTGATGTCTTAATTACATTTAATTCATTTTCATTTTCATTTCATTCATCATAATATTATTTTATTTTAATAGCATTTCTCTTTAGTTTTTATTTCTTTTGTTTTTCCTATTTTTGATGCATTAATTTACATTTAATTACATTTCATTTTCATTTTCATTTCATTTTAATAGTATTTTGATGTTTTATTTCTTTCGGTATATCCATTGATACAAATATATGTGTACATTAATTCAATATAATACCGTACATACATTTTGGTACGTATATTTCGGTACATACATTTAGGTTCATTGAATATACACTTTCCAAACATATGTACATATATCTCAAAAACATTTTTATATCTCCCGGCTCACTACCATGCCTCTGCACCCGAAGCCAGAGATTATTTCTCCCGGCCCGAAGCCAACTCCTATCTTCGCCCGTAGGTAGAGCAATGACTACTAGATGAGCACAAAACATTGAATATACACTTTCCAAACATAGGTGCATATATCTCAAAAACATCTTTATAGCATATAGTCATCCATCATATATACTATAAAAAAGTGTGCAAAAATATGTTCGTAAGTAGTATATAGTCATGCATCATATATACTATAAAGAACATCAGTTCGATAAAATATGGTAATTCAAAATATTCTCGGTAAGCATAATATCTCATAAAACGTAATCATTAAAACCATGCTTTCATGTATGCATTTCTACTATTAAAACATGCATTTTTGAAGAGGTTTACTCACAGATACTTCACCGCCGAAGAGCCATGCAAACTAGCGAAGACGGAAACGCCACAATAAATGCACCTAAGCACATAAAGGGTCAAATTAATAGAACTCTATCATAACGATTGAATTTGAGAAAATAGATCCAGGACGTCGAAATTAGCCTAGGATGGGTCCTAAACGAAACTCGAAAAAGTCAACAAAAGTCAATGTTGACCAGTTAAAGTTAAAGTCAACGATCAACGTTGACCGTGTCAACGGGTCCGGGCTTGGTCAAGTCAACTAGGTCAAAGGGTTTGGGTCAACCAGGTTGGGCCCAAAGGGTTTGGGTCCAATGGGTTTTAAGGTTTAAAGGGTATTGGGCTTGAGGTTATCAGGCCAGAGGCCTAAGTGGATTGGCCTAAGGGCTTAGGGTCTATTCTTTTGGGTCAAAGGGTATGGGCTTGAAAGCCCGACCCAAGGTAAGGGTTTTAGAAAATATATAAAATAAAATAAATTAAATAAATGGGTTGCATTGGGCTCGAGTTCCACGGGCCAAGGGCCCAAGTTCTACATGCCCCGAATGCCTGATCCTTTTAGGTTTTTTGGGTTTAGTTTCAACGGGCATTGGGCCTGACAGCCCAGCCTAAAAGTCCTAGGCCCAAAGGCCTGGATTGGTTTCTCGATGGGAAGGAAGCCAGAGCCTTCCGTGCTCTAGTCAACGTCAAACCAACACTATAAGGTATGATTTAACCGTGAAATTGAAGGTGGAGGTGAAAGGGAAAGGTTCCTTACCTTTGATTGCCGTGATATGGATGAAATTGGCCGGAGATTTGAGCTCGACTCCAGGGCTTGCCAAACCTGGGTGCGCTGTGGGTGTCCCAATGCTTCACAAGGACATGGGAGAGGGAGAGAAGGTCCAAGTGATGATGTTGATGTCGTCCTTCGTCGGAAGGGATTGTGTATAAGTGTGTGAGTGCGGATCGCCGGGGAGGGGAGAGATGGGTGTAGAGAGATATGTGAGAGTGAGAGGGATCCGAGAGTGTGAGAGATAAGAGAGTGACTCGAGTGAGAGAGAGAGTGAGGTGATGGGGTGTGGGAGCTGCTACGTGGCAGAAAAAGAAGAGGGGAACTGGGGAAACAGAACCGAAGGTGGGCCCCTAGTTGAATATCAGAGTGCGCAACGAACAAGACTAACAAATAATATGAATTTTATTAAAAGAACGCGAATGCCGAAACGGCTACAAAACCCTAAGAGACTACATTGTGGCTAACTTGATTCTCAAACTAAATTACAAGCTCTATTTATAGAGCAATAAACCAAAGAAACCCTAATGCGTAAATGCCAAAAATACCCTACTACAAAATCAAATCAAATCTCTAATTAATTTCCTAAATAAACCTAATAAATTCTAACACCCCCCGTCAAACTCATGGCGGTACACGACATGAGTTTGCCAACAAGCAGATGTGGATGCAAGCCTCCAAATTCCGATGCCGATGCCGATGCCGATGTCGATTCCAATTTCCGATGCCAATTTCAATACGAAATTTCACCAGTGTAAGTACAAGATTCCAATGCCAGTGCAAATTCCAACTTCCGAACAAACAAACAAAAAACCATATTCAAAACCATATTTTTTCTTTGCCCGTGTGGGCCTAAGCCTCAAACCAGCCATACTTTTTTCCATTTCTTATGACCTGGGGTCTTCTCCAGATCGCAAAACCAAATGATGCAGCAAACAAGTCTTGCAAAATAAAGGGATTGCAGCCGACAGAACAACTCTAGTGAAAAGTCAAACTGCAGAAGGGAAAGCCTAAACGAGACCAAACAGAGTGACCAAGAACAAGGGACACAGAGCAAAGCGGAAGCGAAGCCTAAACGAGACCAAAACTAAACCAAAAACAAAATGCGACAAAACAAATTGATACCAACAAGAACGGATTGAACCCTAAGGATCGAACCCGCTCTGATACCAAGTTGAATATCAGAGTGCGCAACGAACAAGACTAACAAATAATATGAATTTTATTAAAAGAACGCGAATGCCGAAACGGCTACAAAACCCTAAGAGACTACATTGTGGCTAACTTGATTCTCAAACTAAATTACAAGCTCTATTTATAGAGCAATAAACCAAAGAAACCCTAATGCGTAAATGCCAAAAATACCCTACTACAAAATCAAATCAAATCTCTAATTAATTTCCTAAATAAACCTAATAAATTCCAACACCCCTTGGCACACAATTAAGGTTTGAAAGCAACCCATTTCAAAACAAACATTCCAAAATTAGTGAAATTACAAAAATACTTTTTTTTGTTTCGTAAATCCCGGAACGGGTTGTCACAATCTGGACTCTATACTTCGTCTACTTTTCTTTTTCAACTGCTCTTTCCAATTCCTTATCATTCCAATATGACTATGCTGGCTTTGTTTTTTCGTGTTAGAATGATTTGAAGTTGAATGAGAATTTAGAATTGTTCGAAATGTTTTGAAATGAATATATGAAGTTATGAACCATCCATAGTTGAATGAGATCATCAATTGTTTCTACTTGTCATGTGCACATTGGTCTGAAGTTCCTCTTTTCGGATATGAGGAGATTTTTATTTAGCATTCGAACTCATGTGAAAATCCTTTTAAAATGATTAAAAACACTTTTAGTGAAAATGTTTTTAAAAAGCCCTACAAAACACATAGAAGTGGCTCCTACTGTTGCGCTCCACTACCTTTTCCCATTTACTACCCAATTTGTTTACGGTGTCAATTGTTAAAGTTTGAACAAATAACGTCTAGGATTTGATAACATCTTTCTATATTTAGGGTCAACAGATACCTAAGTGCCAGGTGAGTCACATCATTGATGCCCTGGAGTTGGTATATGCATCAATGACTGAAAATTACACGAGCGCATTTGGACGATGTACCACTAGCATATTCAGTGACTTTTTCTTCTTCTTGGTCAATAGCAAAATCAATAACTGGGAGCTACACACAAGTAGTTAAACAATTGTGTCAATAATAAAATTAATGATCAAAAATCACATACGATTAGCCGCCATCATTGCATATAGAATGAAGAAGAAAATAAAATGGGACCATGAAGAAAATCAAATGGGACCATGAGTCATAGCTTCCGGGGTCCAATAAAGATAAGTTGCCAATTTTCTACTTCTAAAACTTTATTTCTCTTGAAAAACGATATTTAAGTGAAAAACTAGGTAGCAGAACGCATTGAATCTTTTTTAGTGGAAGCAGTCATTTTTGACAATTTTCAACCCTCGATTGATTTCCTTGTTGGCTTTTACTTACAATACGGCAAATTCTTTGTGCGACATATTTGCACCTAATATCCACTATTATTTTCACTCATCTACAAAGAGAATCCAAAAGTAACAAACCCCCAAATAATAGTAGTAAGGTGACCTAAAACAAATGATTCCATGCCCCACTTATCGCTTTAATGATTGAACACTGAGATGAATTGTAAGCTTACATGATAATAATATTTGTTTTTTGTTCATCAACAGAATGCTGCGTACCTGATCATTCGAGGCATGAAGACCTTGCATCTTCGTGTGCAACAACAGAATTCAACAGCATTGAGGATGGCCAAAATTTTAGAGGCACATCCTAAGGTATATATTTTGTAAACTTAAGTAGCATTAACCCCTGGGAGGCTAACTAAATAGGTTACCAGTGTGCGATTATTGTTGGAAAGATTATAGTACAAAAGTTTATGCTGGGATTCACCACTTCGTATTTGAAAACAGATGTTACTGAAAATGTTTATCGGCAGGTGGCACACGCCTATTATCCTGGTTTGCCTAGCCATCCTGAACATCAGCTTGCCAAGAGGCAGATGACTAGTTTCGGTGGTGTTGTCAGTTTTGAGGTGAACATTATCGACGCTGTCCCTTTCTGGTATGCTGTTATTATATTCATTTGGTTAATAATGTTCCTTGATTATGCAGATTGATGGAGACTTTATGAGAACCATTAAATTCGTGGATGCACTGAAAATCCCATATATTGCTCCATCCTTTGGTGGCTGTGAGAGCATTGTGGATCAGCCAGCCACAATGTCTTACTGGTATCCCTCTTAACTCTTTTATCTTATGGTGGCTTCATAAATTTGAAGTTGTCATGCTATGTGGTTGAGTCTGATAAATTGGGTAGACCTGTGATCTTGACATATCACCGTATCAAGTCACACCAGATACTGCATGAAGGTGCCTACGTTCAGGTGCTTTGGCATTCCTAGACATGGTAGTGCATTAATTGGTTAATAATATGTTTCTGGTAAAAGAAACATGGTGTGCCCTGGATAGATGTCTACATGTCGTATTCGATAGCAACATTTAAAGCATGTTATGCGAAGCTTAACCAATTAAACTAGCGGAAATTGTTCAAGTTGAAGTTTACAGTAATGGATTTTTCGTTGATGCAACTGCTTGGTCGTTTATACATTGATTTCGCTTGATTACTTTAGGCGGGCTGAAGATACAGTAAAAGGCCAATGATTTCTTCTGTTTGCTGTGTTTTGATGCTCTTGAAACAGGGATCTCAGCCAGTCAGATAGAATCAAGTACGGGATGAAAGATAACTTGGTCCGTTTCAGCTTCGGAGTGGAAGACTTTGAAGATCTCAAGGCAGATATACTGCAGGCCCTGGAGACCATATGGACTGTGGCCTGTTTCTGTTTTATTTCCCATGTCCATTGTTGCATTGGTGCTTCAATTGACTTTTATCACCAATATGTGAGTTGTGTGGCTCTTACTGTTGCTCTCCACTACCTTTTCACATTTGCTACCCAATTTGTTTAGGGTGTCAACTGTTAAAGTTTGAACAAATAACGTCTAGGATTTGATAACATTTTTCTATATTTAGGGTCGACATATACATATGTGCCGAGTGAGTCACACCATTGAAGCACTGGAGTTGGTATATGCAGCAATGACTGAAAATCACACGCGCGCGTTTGAACGATGTACCACTAGCATATTCAGTGACTTTTTCTTCTTCTTGGTCAATAGCAAAATCAATAACTGGGAGCTACACACAAGTAGTTAAACAATTGTGTCAATAATAAAATTAATGATCAAAAATCACATACGATTAGCCGCCATCATTGCATATAGAATGAAGAAGAAAATAAAATGGGACCATGAAGAAAATCAAATGGGACCATGAGTCATAGCTTCCGGGGTCCAATAAAGATAAGTTGCCAATTTTCTACTTCTAAAACTTTATTTCCCATGAAAAACGATATTTAAGTGAAAAACTAGGTAGCATAACGCATTGAACCTTTTTTAGTGGAAGCAGTCATTTTGACAATTTTCAACCCTCGACTGATTTCCTTGTTGGCTTTTACTTACAATACGGCAAATTCTTTGTGCGACATATTTGCACCTAATATCCACTATTATTTTCACTCATCTACAAAGAGAATCCAAAAGTAACAAACCCCAAAATAAGAGTAGTAAGGTGACCTAACTTTGTATTTTTATGTTAATTTTGATGCCTGATTTCATTTTTGTCGACCGTTGAATTGTCATGAAATTTTATAATGTTGTTGTGTAAGTAGTATGATGCCCTAGGAAATTTACGGATTGGATACCCAATGTACGAATCTTTTAGATTGGAATACTTAGAGTTGATGACCTTAGGGGGATCACACTATATTATATATGTCTATATTTCTGCCTGATTAAACCGCAATGGGGACCACACTATTATATACATATCATCATCCATCGTTGGCATAGTGTTTTTCTATAAGAACATCTAATGAAAATTGGAAGGTGCAAAACGTCTTAAAATGTGTATTTTACATTTTTGGTCGGCCGGAAAACTCCAATGGAGAGGTATAAATATCCATGTTGACGCTCACAATATACTTTTTGTTTGAAATGTTATTTCTTAGAGTAAATATCATATACTGTGAGTAAACATTCGGTAATAACTTGAGCTATCACGAAATCTTCTTGCATATATTAGTCATTAGGTTGTGAACATTCTTGCAGTTACAAGTTAAAAAGCTACAATATCGTGTGCAAATAACGTAGAACTCGATTGGATGTACTTTTAAAATAACTGAAAGCGATTTTGGTGAAACTATTTTTGGAACCAATCTTTAGTAAAAATACAAGTAAATTCTGGAAAAACACTTAAAGTGATTCCTAGAAGAAGCACGTAACTGGTGCTTCTTGCAGAAATCACTTAAAATGCTTTTGGAACCCAAATTTTTTTCTCTAAAAACGTTTTCAACTATTTTAAAAATACATCCAAACGATCTTGTAATTCAAGTGATTAACAACGTTCATCGAATGTCCAAAGTTACGAAAAAAATAAAAAGTTGCAACTCAATATAGTGTGTAAAATTGGAATTTTGTGACTCAAAAAGTTGGTACAAATACATGTTGCGAGTCAGATTCCACGTCTTGGACCAAAAGAAAAGTCAGATTCCACGTCGGCATCAAGCCAACTGGACCAACTTGGTAAATAAAACCAAAAAAAATCAGTAAAAAAACAAAATCATAAAATTACAGAAAAAGAAAAGGCGCGTATTAAAGCTGCAACGCATTTGCTCTCAATGTCGTCCATTTCTTCCCAACCTCGTTTCGTGACGAACCCAAAATCCCGAAAACTCGAACCCCATCACTCACCCATGGCCGTCTGCTCGTATCCTCCTAGGGTTTTCACTTCCTCCCAGCCCGGCACCCGCCCCCGATTATCGGGCCGGGTCGACCCGACGGTGCCGGTTCACGGCCTCTCCTCTCTCATCCTCAGGTTTCCCCCGAACTTCGTCCGCCAGCTCAGCACCAAGGCCCGCAGGAACTGCAGCAACATCGGCGTCGCGCAGATCGTCGCCGCCTCTTGGTCGAACAACAACCCCAACTCTGGCGTGTCGGCGGCACCGTCGGCTACAGCCGTCGATGCCGCCGCCACGGCCGCCATTTCCGTCGATCCGGCCCAGATTTCGGGCGGTGACGAGGTGGCGGTGTTTGAAAATGGTGTACAGTTGGGGGAGGCCTTGCCTTTGAAGGAGGCCTCGTTCTTGAGCTCCGATGGGAGCCTCGCAATTCATGCTGGTAATTTAACTATATTTTATGGGGTTTTTTTAATTATGATTTGCTTGGATTATTGTCTTAATGTTACAATTAAAAAGCTCAGTTCTTGATAATTATGCGGTGATTAGCGTGTGAGTAAAAATTGGGACTTTTTGTTTTTGTGAAGGTGAAAGATTGGGACGCGGCATAGTAACTGATGCAATTACAACCCCAGTGGTTAATACTTCTGCCTACTTCTTTAAGAAAACGGCTGACCTCATTGATTTCAAGGTATGCAATCACGCATTCCATATACTTATATTTTCTTACGATTTTCTGCATAATTGGGTGTAACTTTTTTGTAATATGCTGCAAAAGTTTGAAACTTTAAGAAAACAGACGATAAAATTGTGTTTTATGTATTGGGTAGCTGGTGATTGATGTGTTCTTGGATGGTTTTGGTTTATTGTCCTTTTACCTTGTTGCAGGAGAAACGCGCAACAAGTTTTGAATACGGGCGGTATGGAAATCCAACTACAGTAGTGGTTGAGGAGAAGATCAGGTTTGCATGTCTTTCATTCTCTTTTGTATTTTAAGCCTGCCTTTTGTGCTTCGAATCTATGTGTTGAATGTTTATTGAGGCCATGTTGTGGTGAACTGGTGATGGTTAGTGCGCTTGAGGGAGCGGAATCAACAATGATATTGGCATCTGGAATGTGTGCTTGCACTGTCATGTTGATGGCATTGGTTCCAGCTGGTGGGTATATCGTGACCACCACGGATTGCTATAGGAAGACTAGGATTTTCATTGAGACCATTCTTCCAAAAATGGGGATCACGGTAAAATTGTCCTGTTCTCATTTTGTGCAATGATGTTGTTCTGAATCTAGAGCAACAGAATACAGGTGTTACTTTTCAAATCGCCTGTGATCCTTTGTTAGTGTTTATACTTATAGATTACCACTCTCTATGCAGGCCACAATCATTGACCCTGCTGATGTGGGAGCCCTGGAAACTGCATTGGATGAGCACAAAGTCAGTGAGAAAGTATTTAGCTTGCTTTTTTGAAATTCTCTATAACTTAGCAAATAATGGTGACCCTGATTGTTTGTAAAATTTACTTCGGGACAGGTGTCTCTTTTCTTCACAGAGTCTCCTACTAATCCATTCCTCAGGTGTGTTGACATTAAGTTGGTTTCTGAGCTCTGTCACAAAAAAGGGGCGTTGGTCTGTATAGATGGCACTTTCGCCACACCTCTCAACCAGAAAGCCCTTGCCCTTGGGGCAGATCTTGTTGTGCATTCTGCAACGAAATTTATCGGTGGCCACAATGATGTAAGTCAGCAAGTGTCGAACCTAATCATTTGGAGTGAATACTCAGTGTATCAATTATTGTAAAGACTAAGCAAGTATCAATATCTTATTTCAGGTCCTTGCTGGTTGCATTAGCGGTTCCATGAAATTGATTTCAGAAATTCGTACTTTGCATCATGTTTTGGGTGGTGCTCTCAACCCGGTGAGTCATGTTTGTGGGTTATATATGTTTCTCGTCTCTTATTATTCTCAGTTGTCACGTTGATTGATGGTGTTAATTTCTACTTCCATTAAGAATGTAGGGTACTTCAACAAATGATTCCATGCTCCCACTTAATGCTTTAATGGTTGAAGAATGGAATGAATTGTAAGCTTACATGATAATAATAATTGTTTTTTTTTTCATCAACAGAATGCTGCATACCTGATCATTCGAGGCATGAAGACCTTGCATCTTCGTGTACAACAACAGAATTCAACAGCATTGAGGATGGCCAAAATTTTAGAGGCACATCCTAAGGTATATATTTTGTAAACTTAAGTAGCATTAACTAATGGGAGGCTAACTAAATAGGTTTCCAGTGTGTGATTACTGTTGGAAAGATTATAGAACAAAAGTTTAGGTTGGGATTCACCGTTTTGTATTTGAAAACATATGTTATTGACAATGTTTATCGGCAGGTGGCACACGTCTATTATCCTGGTTTGCCTAGTCATCCTGAACATCAGCTTGCCAAGAGGCAGATGACTGGTTTCGGTGGTGTTGTCAGTTTTGAGGTGAACATTCTTGGCGCTATCCCTTTTTGGTATGTAGTTATTATATTCATTTGGTTAATAATGTTCCTTGATCATGCAGATTGATGGAGACTTGATGAGAACCATTAAATTTGTGGATGCACTGAAAATCCCATATATTGCCCCATCCTTTGGTGGCTGTGAGAGCATTGTGGATCAGCCAGCCATAATGTCTTACTGGTATTCCTTCTAATTCTATATCTTATGGTGGCTTAATAAATTTGAAGTTGTTATGCTATGCGGTTGAGTCTGATAATTTGGGTAGATCTGTGATCTTGATATGTCACAATATCGAGTCACTCCAGATAACGTGTGAAGATGCCTAGTTTCGGGGTTTTAGTCAAAAGTTAATTTCGTAATCAAATAGCAGGTGCTTTGGCATTCCTAGACATGGAAGTGCATTAATTGGTTAAAAATATGTTTCTCGTATTACCAAAAATAAATTTTACTATGGAAACATGATGTACCCTGGATGGATGTCTACATGTTGTATTCATAGCAACATTTATAGCTTGTTATGCGAAGCTTAACCAATTAACTTAGCCGAAATTATTTTCGTTGAAGTTTACAGTAATGGAATTTTCGTTGATGCAACTGCTTGGTCATTTATACATTGATATTGCTTGATTAATTTAGGTGGGCTGTAGATACAGCAAGTCAGATAGGATCAAGTCCATGATTTCTGATTGCTGTGTTTTGATGCTCTTGAAACAGGGATCTCAGCCAGCCTGATAGGATCAAGTACGGGATCAAGGATAACTTGGTCCGTTTCAGCTTCGGAGTCGAAGACTTTGAAGATCTCAAGGCTGACATACTGCAGGCCCTGGAGACCATATAGACTGTGGCCCGCCTCATATGCGGTTTTCTGTTTTATTTCTCTTCTCCATTGTTGCATTGGTGCTTCAATTGACTTTTGATCACCAAATGCTTTGTTCGGGTCCACTCGATGGGTCGTTGTCGATTCCATCCGGACCCTAAACTTTGTCTAATTTTCTTTTCCAAGTGCTCTTTCCAATTCCTTATCATTCCAATATGACTATGTTGGCTTTGTTTTTTCGTGTTAGAATGATTTGAAGTTGAATGAGAATTTAGAATCGTTCCAAGTGCTTTGAAATGAATATGAAGTTATGAACCATGGTTGATCATCAACTTTTTTCTACTGTGATAAATAAAACAGGAGCTGCTATTTGCGCAGCAGAATAGTTATAGTGAACCAATGCAAGGAAGAGTTGAGGATGACATTTTGAAGTGCTAATAGCAATTTACGTCGGAAAAGAGATTTTTTATGTGTACATCGGTCTCCTCTTTTCAGATACGAGGAGATTTTTATTTTTAGTGTAATCTATTGTGTGCGTACACTAGGTTTTTCAACCATTGGATTTTTTGTTAAAGATTCATTGACCAAGATTTCACAACTGCAAATTTAGATGCAGTTGCGTAGGGCTTTAAAGTTGAATGAACACAAACAAACTCTACTGCCCGAAAGTCGTATGAAGAAGTCTTTTCCATTCTGTCTGTTTCTTCGAGATAAACAAGACTTATTCTATGAAAAATCGTTCCGGCCAAGAAAAAGGCCATAGGATTTGAGAGAGATCTAGCTAGTGAAGTTCACGTAGATGGCGCTTGGTGATCATTTCATCGGTATTTGGCATGCACGGTACACGAATGAAGGACGGGAAATGGATGGTATTAACCCAGAATATTTCTTATGTCTCCAGCTAGATACAGTTTGATGCGCGGTGATCCTTGATTGAGGATAAATCGTAGGTTAGAATGACATAACTAAGACCGGTGACTTTTTATACCTAAAAAATGGCGCCGTCAATGTACTTTGAAGCATGCTAGAATATTTGGGATACGAGTTTCGAAATTCGGAAAGGGATCGTCTCCGGATTCCTTCTCCCTAATCCATCAAATCAGGGAATCCGTGTCATTAAAATTTGATCAAACAGCTACAAATAGAAGCCCACTCATTTTAAAAGTTATAATATCGTTAGATCAAATTTCAATATCACGGATGCTCTTATTTGATGGATTAGGAGGAAGGGATCCGGAGACCCTAGTGGTCCGAAGTGTAACATTTTCCATTTTTGAACCTCATTCAAGTTGTCGTGGTGACGGATTTATCAAAATCGAATGCCGTCTGCGGATCGAGGATGAGAGAATATGCGCAGCAACATGATCAAACAACGTAAAAACAACCAAATAAATCTGAAACTTTTGGAGAGTATTCGGGTAAGGATGAAAAATCCAAATGCACACCAACAAGAAATGTACTTGAAAAAACCACCCCACCTCTCTCTAGCCCACTTTCCAAATATTCCCACTTGAGAGACATTCTCAGGATCCGGATTAAATTTAATTTCTCTCTCTTAATATAAGAGGAAATCCTGTGAGCAGTTGATCTCCAGAGTTTGTTGAAAAGCCATGAAATTCGGGAAGAAGTTCAGGACCCACCTGGAGGAGACGCTCCCGGAGTGGAGGGACAAGTTCCTCTGCTACAATCTCCTGAAGAAGCTCCTCAAGGGCTTCCCTGCCACCGCGGCTGCCATAGCCGCGGTGGATTCCCTCCCTCGCCAACTCGAGTTTCAGCGCCAGCCGGCAGATGCCCATCCGGCCGCTGCTGATGGAGGTGATGGTGGGTTCCACCCTTTGGCCGGACTCCAGGATTGGTTCGTTGCGATTCTGAATGAGGAGCTGGAGAAGTTAAACAATTTCTATGTGGATAAGGAGGAGGAGTTCGTTATCCGTTTCCAGGTTATTATGATTGCCTTTTTTTCTTCGTGTTTTCTTGAATCTGCATGTGTGGATACATAAATACGCGCTTTAATTTTGATGGGTAGTTGATGGATTTGGCTTGCTTGTTATGGATGTTACAAAAATTCAATCTTTCTCTTCGTGTTAAGCGATTTGCAGATACTGGTGTTATGCTGGTCTCTTAGGCCTTGATTGGTTTCTAGTAACGGATTGGATTGGATAACTCACTACGTTTAGTGTAAGTTGAACGAAGAAATGGAAATTTTGTCCGAGTTGATGGTAAGATTCAGAGGATTCAGAGGGAGAAGTTTCTTTCATGGCAGGAATTCGGAGCTTGCGTCCATTTCTTCATTCAAGAGCCTTTGAATCTAGTGAGTTATCCAATTCAATCGACACCAAACGAGAGCAGGATCTTAAGATGATTGATAGGCACGAGTAGGAGTAGGATGGCATCTGTAAGCAAGTGCATTTTAGCTAAGGATTGTGTGTGGCTGGAACGATTTGTTGAGATAGAGTAGTGGTAAAAGAACACAGAAGAGTTCTAAAATATTTCTTGAAAACAAGGGAAGTTTTCATAATAAACAGGTCGAGCCTCGAGTCTCAACTAGTTGAATTTCTCTTTTGATCATTAAAGTCGAGAACCTTTTCACTTAACTAAGATCTCTCTCCTGGATCAACGAATGGTGTGTAAATGGAAGTCTGTATTTGTGTGGTGCTTGTTCGCTTGAAGCTAAGCCTTTTTTTTCCTGGTTATCTGCTCTCATCTGCAAACTGCAATAATGACAGGAACTGAAAGGAAGAATCGAGAGCGTCAATGAAAGGAGCAGCAGGGGTGGTGTATTTACATCAGAGAGCGAGTTCAGTGAAGAAGTGATGGACATCCGTAAGGACTTTGTCACCATCCACGGGGAGATGGTGCTTCTAAAAAATTATAGCTCGTTGAATTTTGCAGGTACAACAGCTACTTCTTTTCACCTTCCATATTTAGCCTGTATTGTACAACCGTTAGCATCAGGGAATTTCTTCATTATATATCTGCGTTATCTATTGCTAAAATCAGCTGTCTTCTGGCTCAATAGGGCTTGTCAAAATTCTAAAGAAGTACGATAAGCGAACTGGAGGAGTGTTGCGTGTACGTTTCACGCAACTAGCCGTACGCCAGCCTTTCTTTACAACAGAACCTCTCACGAGGCTAGTCCGTGAATGCGAGGCAAATCTCGAGCTTCTCTTCCCTTTGGAAGCGGAAATCATTGAAGGTACACCAACCACACAAGATGAAACCACCCCAGACACAGGTCACTCAAACCCACAATCCAATGCTTCGGCAAATATTGCATCTGAGACACCTTCAAACATGGAGGCAAACATGGAGGCAAACACGGATATATATCGTGGGACTGTTGCTGCAATCAAAGCCATTCAAGGCCTTCAAAACCCAAGCTCCACTTCCAGCCCATGGTCGCTTTCAAATCACTTAAGAAGCCAGGACGAGGAGAGCAGCGGTGCTGTCACAGCCGAAAATTCTACGTCAAACTCTGTAGGCAGCTGGCAGAGCGAAGAGGAGGATGACCAGTTGTAGTAGTGTTTAACCGATCAGCTCCTGCAATACATCCTCCGTTTCTGATCAAGAGGACGACAGTGTGCGTAACAGCGTTTATCTTAATGCTTTCGGTGTTACATTCTTGTTTCCGCTTCTTGTGGCAACCGGAATCCTAAACCCTAGGAGAAATTTACCATAGCATAATAGCACTAATCTGAAAGTGGTGTAGTTCTTTCAGTAGTACTTTTCAATGTTGTGCAGTTTTCTCATTAGCATTTGCTTGAAACTTAAAATGTTGAACAACTTCACTAGAGCTAAATCTCATTCTGCTCTTCTTTTGTTATCTTTTGATTTTTGGTTCATTTGTAACGCGTAGTGATTTTGGCACACGTTTTTATGCATGAGAAGAAAATGAATGCGGAAATTATTTTCCTTGCATAGCATAGAACGAATGACAAACTCCAACCATTAGGAGTCTCGTTCTCATGGTCATCAGGTGACTAAGGATGCATGATCATTCACCTTAGATTTGATATTAAAACATTAATAACACGTTCATTCATTATCTTCCTTAATATCCGAAGAAGAAAGAACACCCAGAAACCCTCCGCCCGTGTAGAGAGTAGAAATTTTTTATGATATTGAAATCTTCAATGAGACAAACGTAACAAGATAACAAGTCCCTAACCATTCATTTTTCACTTCTTTCTTGGGTCATTTCAATTCATTTCAGATTTTTTTTTTCTTGAGAATCTTCAGAATTGAAGGATGAGCATTTGAGGACTTTTCTCCAAGAGGACGTCAATTTTTTGATGTCCTTTTTGGGGAGACAAAAGAAAGAATTTGAACCACTTGGTGGCCTCCTCCATTTCTGTTTGGATAGCAATCTCTGGCTGGCTCTACTGTTTAAGTGGCCATCAAATTCAGTTGTATCCACAGGTTTTATGGCCCCAAAATTAACTGCAATAATTGAGTGAGGCATCAAGTTGCGTGCTGATCTTTCAACCCTTTACTCAAGATGTGGATGTAGCCACGTTAGTTAGAGTGGTGGTGTTCTCGTTATGCACTTGAATTCCTTCCCTGTAGTTTAGAATATCGTTAAAAAAGTAGGAAAACACTTTAAACACTTGATAACAAGCAAGATAGGGTGTGTTCACTTTCCTTTTTGTTCAGTCTTCCAAACAAAAATGAAGAGAACAATTACAATTGCCTATTTTTCACTCATATTTTGCAAACAAAACGAAGAAAAGTGAAAATAAAAAATAAAATTCTGCAACTTTCACTCCTATCATATTTTGTCCATGGAAAACATGTTCATCCGCTCCTGGTGTGATCACGGTCGTAGTTGAAGGGTAGGGGTACAGACTTGAACGCCCGATACTTTCCGACGTTGTTCAAGTGCTCATTCTCCAACCTGCTTGGTAAAACATCGAATGCTTATTAGTCGACAGCAGTTCAAGTTGCTCGATTTTGGAGAGTTGAGTACTGAGGAGGAAAACATACCGAAAGAAATTCCAAATGCCACGACGGATGATCTCTAAACAGGCAACTATCGTGATCAAGGCTGTTCTATGGACGAAAGGTGCTCCTCTAATTCCTAATACTGACTGCATCCAAGCGAGTCTCAGTAGAACATTCAACCCCTGCATCATGTCACATTATTCGATATTAATGTCAAACGATAAGGAACGAATGGCACTCCATAAGGGTTGAAGAAGTCAGCTTGTAAGTTGTAATCCTACCATGGCAACAAAATAAACATTGTGGTTTGATACGAGGAGTTTATCTCTCAGCCAAGGGTTCTTAGAATTTCGTTGCAGAAGACCCCAATCAATGACAATGTCCCAGTATGTACCGAAAACAGTTGCCACAACTGAACTAACTATAGCGAGGATTTTCCATGTCATCCCTGCTTTCATATCAAAACTTGTTCTCATGGCTACTGCAACGATTGTTGAGAAGTATTTCAGCGCATTTAACCCTTGCATTCTGTCTTTCTCCTCTATCAAGCGTCGCACACACTGCAAGCAGAGAACAGTTAAAACCATATACTTTCATGAAGGAGAAATTAAAGAGTTTTGAACACAGAATACCTGAAGCGAACGCATCCAATAAGGAATAATTGCTACAATGAAGTAGAAAGATTTAAAAACGTGGCTGTCAAGGCAGTTGTGTGATCTTTTTTTGAAGTCCCCCCAACCGTAATAGCAAACGTAGAATTCCAAACTCCTGAAGGCTTGAACCTGAATGAAAATTTACAACATTACTCGATCATAAGCAACACAAGTATCAATACGCTAAATGAATCATAGTAGTGTCAGTACCTGGCTAGTAAGCTGATCTGCCAAGAAAAAATCCGGGAGGGTAACCTACCGAAAAAACAAACAAAATTTTTATGTGTTCTACTTGAGCGTATCCGATTAGTATGCCCACAGGAAGAAGTTATGCTCTGGTTACCTTATAAAGAGGAGCAAGAAGACAACGGAATATGCACAGGAGGAGGAAATATCGACTGGAACGATATATAATGTTGAAAGGACAAACCATTATAAGAAGCACAACCTGCAAATGTAATATATCCATGAAAAAGATTCATGAGCAAACTGTTTTAACAAAGTAAATCAGTTTTGTTGAAGAATCTCTCTCTTACAATGACTAGGCCCAGGGGGACCAATTCTTTCACGGCTACGTAGCTTTTTGTTCTCGGATCCAACTCCATATCCAAATTTGAGATGGTACCAGCCAATGCGAGAATTGCAAGTCCTGAACTGATAAGGAATAGCTGTCTGTAACCAATCTCTGACCCTTGGTTGAAGCCAAAGATAAATGGATAATTTACACGATAGCGCCTCCAAAAGAATATGTTCCCTGAGAACATGATCAGATGTAGGACAATGAATCCAAACAAACTGCAAAAGTGGGAAAATGAATGATCGTCAAGAAACAAAAAGCTATGCAGGTTTAAATTTCTCCACAGATGTAGATATGATGGGATAACTATTATGCACACACTCGCCTGTACAGCGGAAATATGTTTTCCATGTACAGATCATGCCCGTTGCTCTTAAGGATATTTCTTGCATGCATAAGCACAATGATGGCTACTGCAAGTGCAATCGAGCCCCCGAAGAGCAGCCCTGCAGGTACACAACATTAAAATGATCATTGATATCTTGCGTAAGGTCCACTAGATATGGAAACTGAGAAAGAACAAAGAACTTGTCATTCAGATAGCACTACTCTTACCCAAGAAAAATGTATTTCTATGCTTTTCCCTTTTGGTTTTCGGTCTTAATGTCTTCATTCCTTTTCTTCGATTTCCATTTGCGAAGTGCTTTATGAAGGTACTCTCCACCCTTTCCATAAGCCTAGTAACCTGCGAAGCCAAAGGATGGATCATAAGAAAAAGCTTTAGACGGGCAATGGTCTGGATTCGTGGTAATCGTCTGGATCAGAAAAAAAAGCTTCACTCACTTCATCGCTGCTACCGAGATAAGAATTATCCACCATATTCAAGTAAGCCTTCGATGCAGGCCTTGAAGAGAACTGCACAATCACACGGTTAGTATGATCGAAACAAATACTTTCAATTTTGAATGGATGAATCGGAAACAAAGCAACCAAACCTTGTCATATTTCTTCATGATCTTCGAGAAGGCCAATTGATTAAGGAAACTGCACCCTCCATTAGCAATATAATCAGTCATACATAGCACTAATTTTTCGAGTAATGTAATCAGGTTTTGTCATGTTACCAGTAGCTTTTCAAAAGCCGGAGCTTTTTGTAGAACTCGCTAAAAGCCTGTGTCATTTGCTCTTCTACTTTCTTCAGCTCTTTCTTGCTGAATGATAAGTCGGGTTTCGTATTCGGCTGGAATATGCTTTTGATTGTTGATACAGGAGTTTCAGGCACCACGTTGATCTTTATATGATTCAAAACCTCTAGTGGTTGTGGTTTAAACCCCTTAATATCCACCGTGCCTCTGTTGGGTTTCCGGTCAGCGGTTTCCAATTCCTCGATTCCCCTCTCTTCATCTTCTTCCAATATTTCTCCTTCATTGCTCATCTCAACTTCTTGAATTACATCCATATCTTTCCCTCCTTCACAGTCAAAACAAATACTTCAAATATTAGGGAAAAATGAAAAAAAAAAATCTTATTGAATTAAGAATCTTATGCGCCTTTTTTCACCTTCTGCACTCCTTCCCTCAATTATGTAATTGATTTATGGCTCGAAAAAAAATGGAATGCAGAAGGTGAAAAGGGTAATTCGGAAAATCACTTCCTTCCCCAAATCTATTGAACTTAAAGCCTATGTTATCTAAAGTTTCAAACTTTATATAACATGGAATCTACTAAGAAACCAAAAGAAATACAACTAAAAAAGTTCACATTTATTTTTTTGCTTCTTAATTACCTGTTTTTCTACCACTTGGATGAACAAATGAGACTGAAGAAATCCCATTGCTTGCCAATTCACTTCCTCCTCCAATATCCACCTTTGGATTATCAACCTTTAACCTAAGAGCGATCAAACCATCCATCTGCCTACTCAACTCCTCAGCCTCCTCCACAACTTCCCCAACTTTCTTCTTGTAAAAGCAATTCACTTTGTTAAACTCATCGTCCAGGCTCCTAAAAAACACCTCCTCAAACTCTCCTCCGTCCTCGGACGGCATCAAGAACCTTGTCTGCCACTGCCCTTCCTCCCCTTCTTCAGCCACAAGTATCTCCTCGTCCTCCATCTTCCTCAGCGAGCCGCGTTGTCGGCTTGTCAGCCCACTGAATGCTCTGTAGAGTGACACCCTCCGCTTTAGTACCGACCCTGCCGGCGTCGTGGCCATTGGTGTTGATGATGCATATTTCTTCCGGAAACGCAGGATGTCTTTTATGATAAGCTTGAGAGAGTTGTAGTCCATGTATGCTTCTCGCCATTCCGGCACCATTTGCGAAACGAACTCTTTTCCGAACTTCATCTTCTTCCTCCTCCAACCAAGCCCTCAACGAGTACGTAGCTCAGTTGATTACGAACATTCACTCTTGCACTCGGAAGCTTTGGTTTATTTAGGCAACCGTGTTGCGTTCTTGCTTTTGTACATTGCTTCTGTTCAGATGTGAGATTCGAGAAAGAAGACGTTCTCTGTACAAGGAAGGTTGTCTCGTATCATTTAACGTGAATTTTATTTTTATTTTTGGTAAAATCCAAATCAATATAACATGTAGAATTCTTTATTTTTGGAAGCTTCCCTCCTTATTTTTCGACAAAACAACGCCCAATTCAAATTTAAACCTATTTAATCTACGTGAAAGAGAATTAGAACTACATGCAAATGGGCAATAACAAGCAAACTGACTTAGGTGCAGTTTGGGATTGAGATGATTAAAAAAAAAACTGGTATGAAAAAAAGTCGGGAGTTTTTTTGTGTTTGGTAAACATTCAGCTTCAGTTTTTTTTCACAGTTTTGGGTGAAAAAAAACTAAAAACAAGAAGCTGCAAAACCCAGCTTTGAAAAACCGGCTTTTTTCACATCTGTTTTACATAAAAGTTTACCAAACACTATAATACTACTTTTTTTTTTTTCCAAAAGCATTTTTACAAAAAAGTTTACCAAACACTCTACAGCTTTATTTCACAGCCGTTTATTCTCACAGTTCAGTAGAAACAGTTTTTTTTTTTCAAAACACAACAATACCAAACCAGCCCTTAGATTGACTGACCTAATCCACGTCCGTCGATATTAAAGATCGCTCGCCAACATGCTCCACTGTTATCTACTTGTTACAACCACACCTATCACCTGTGGTCCTGCTTTTTGTTGTCTTCCATGGATGAATATGCAGTCGCGGACGTATGCTGTCAATGATGTAACAGGAGTAAATGTACTCGACCAAGACTGGGGTAACCAGAGTAAATGCACTTGACTAAGACTGGACTATATTTAGTTAGCTGGCTTTTCAACATTTGTTCTTAATTTGATTTGTTCCTTTACATGCTAAGATCTTTTCTCTTTTGATCACTTGCGTTGTACAAAAATTAACGCAGAATCTGCAACTCTCGAATGTGCAGATAAGCAAATTTCATGGTGGATGCTATAACTTTCTTAGGCCATCATGTTGATAATTTGTGTATTTGGGATGGGATGATCCTTCCTCAAGCTATAAATGCTTCCTTGTTTGACTCTCGACGTCTCTTAAAATTAATACTTTTGTTAATCACTTGAGTTACAAAAAAAGACTGTGTTACAAGATATGATGATTTGTTGCATTAACTTTGGTTAGGTAATATATACAAATTACACTAAATTTTTGGGGGTAAATTACATAGTAGCCCCTCAGGTTTGAGCTCTATTGCAATCTCATACAACATCTTTAAAACATTTTACTTTCATACCTCAAGTACTATTTTATTTCAATTTCATACAACCGTTAGATTTTCCATCCATGGATCTGTTAAATGCTGACGTGGCTGCCACATATATGACACGTGGCTGCCAAATGTCTGCCACGTGGCAAAATAAATAATTTTTTTAATTTAAAAAAAAAAACACATACTTTGTTCACTTTTTTTCTTCTTTCTTCTTCTTCTTCTTCTTTTTCTTCTTCTCTTCACCTTTTCTGGGTTCGATTCTTTTTTCTTCTTTCTTTTCTCCCTCCTTCTTTTCTTCTCCTCTCTTCTTTCTTCTTCCTCCTCTTCTTCTGGATTCGATTCCCTTTCTTCTTTTTTTTTTCTTTTTCTTTCTTCTTCTTCTCTTTCTTCTTCTCTTCTTCTTCTTCTCTCTTCTTCTCTTCTTCTTCTTTCTCTTTCTTCTTTCTTTTTTCTTTTTCTTTTCTTCTTCTTCTCTCTTCTCTTCTTCTCTCCTTCTTCCTCTCTTCTCTTTCTCTTCTTCCTCCTTCGACCTTTTTTTTTTTTTTTTTCTCTTTTTCTTCTTCTCTCTTTCTCTTTCTTCTTCTTCTTTTCTCTTTCTTTTTCTTTCTTCTTCTGGGTTCGGACCTTTTTTTTTTTATCTTCTTCTTCTTCTTCTCCCTCCTCCTCCTCTTTCTTCTTCTCTTCTTCTTCTTCCTCCTTTTTCTTGGTTCGGTCCCTTTTTTTTTTTTTTTTTTTTTTCTTTCTTCTTCTTCTTCTTCTTCCTCCTTCTTCTGGGTTCGGACCCCTTTCTTTTTTCTTTTTTTTTCTTCTTCTTCTTCTTCTTTCTCCTCCCTCCTCTTTCTTCTTCTTCTTCTCTTCTTTTTCTTCTTCTTCTGGGTTCGGACCTTTTTTTTTTTTCTTCCCAATTTCAGGTTTTTAAAAAAAAAATTAAAAAATTATTTTATGGGTTCGGACCTTTTTTTTTCTTCCAATTTCAGGTTTTAAAAAAAAAATTAAAAAATTATTTTATTTGCCACGTGGCAGACATTTGGCAGCCACGTGTCATATATGTGGCAGCCACGTCAGCATTTAACATATCCATGGATGGAAAATCTAACGGTTGTATGAAATTGAAATAAAATAGTACTTGAGGTATGAAAGTGAAATGTTTTAAAGATGTTGTATGAGATTGCAATAGAGCTCAAACCTGAGGGGCTACTATGTAATTTACCCAATTTTTGGGGTGGGGTTTCACACATAACTAGATATATACACATTGATACAAATATATATTTACATTTAATGGTGAGAAAACAAATTGATATCAGTATTGAACTCGTCATTAAAAAAAATTATAATCTAACCAAAAATTAAGTATGGTTGTTGGATGGTGTTTTGGTTGAGGAGGACGATTATAAATCGGATAATGCTAGGAAGACCAAAATTTTAAACCAAAATTTGCAAATCAAATGATATGTCACAAATAAGAAATAAGCGTGTTAATCAACACTTAAGTAACAACTCAATCATCAAAACATCATTTGGTTTACAAAATTTAGTTTAAAATTTTGGTCTCTGTAGCATTATCCTTATAAACCGTTAGGATTTAAATAATGTGATGGTATTTTTTTTTTTAATAAACGATATTATCTATATTAAGGGAGGGGGCGCGGGCTTAATGTATTTGGTATTTAAATTTCAATAATGTGATTTGGTAGGCCAAGAGTTGTACACGTTTTGCACCAAAATGTGTTTCAAATATCTAATTACAGGGTACATTTTTGCTCATAACTCTCAAGTGGTGGTCATGCTCACCATTTTATTTCTTAGTATTTGATTAGTTTAAATTTTAAGATTTACGTCTATTCACTACATACATCTCGAAATTTAAACTCATCGAAATGATATAAATAAAATAGTGAGCATAACATCACTTGAGGGTAGTGAGCAAAAATAGAGAAATACTAAGGAAACTCTCAAAAGTGGGATTCTCCATATACTATTTGCTATATAATGTTAAAGTGACAGAATCAACAAAAAGTCTCGCTTTAAGATAATATCCTCGGTATTTCTCGCAAAAATATTCCTTATAATTACAGCTGGGACATGCACATTAATATTGCCAACGACAAATGCAATCTTATCCTTCTAAAATCAATATGCAAATTTGAAATTATTCGGTAGGCTAACTAACCCAAACAATCATACTTTGGCCACAAGAAGCGACATCTTTGAGGGTGTTTTTTATTACAACCCGATATTTTAATTTTATTATGAGAGTTTGAGTTTGAATGCTAGACATTTGCACGAATTATACTTTGGCTAAGTTAGTAAAGTCTCTGCATTGTGTGTCACCTCACTAATGTTTGAGTCTCGCTGCCAGCAATCCTCGTTAATTTGTAATCTATAAATTTTTTACGTAAATTCATACCGGTGACGTGTAAGTCCTTTCAAATCGAGATTATGAGTATGTCTTGACACTACAAATTTAGTCCTTCCACTTAGCATTACCATTTAATTTTGGAACCCAGTTAAAGCACCAGCAATGAGCTGACATGTCGGCACCTCATTGGCTCCACCAAAAATTAATACCAAAAGAGGGCTTTACTCCCAGAAACCAAGACGTTGACAAACAAAACAGATCTCCACCACCGTTTGTTGAGAAGCTCAAAAACTCCGACCAAAAAACAACTTCCAAATTCCGCCATCGGAGCCGCCACCCACGGCCGGGGTTTCTCTTTCTCGCACAAAATGTCCCGAGTCAATTTTGGTATAATTCTGATTCTGGGGTTAATGTCGACGGTAGCGCATTCCATGCGGTTCGACCTCCAATCGGGCGCCACCAAGTGCATTTCCGACGACATAAAGAGCAGCGCCATGACCGTCGGCAAGTACGCCGTCGTCAACCCCAATGAGGGATCTCCTGTACCTGATTCCCATAAGCTCACTGTCAGGGTAATCCCCACACCATTTCTGTATGTGGGTCTGTTTCTATATCTGAAAATATGATCTGGGTTTTCTTTACTACCAATTTTACAATTGGGTTTTTTGTTCAATCCTGTTTCGAATCTGCTTTCGGAGTCAAATGTGGCAAAAAGATTGAATCTTTCAGAGTGAAGTTTAATGTTTAGGCAAAGCATTGATTTCTGTAAATTGGGTATATAATGATTTGCCTTGTAAGGTTGGATTTTTGGGAACAGTTTGGAGATTTGATCTGGTGATGCTGTGGTTTGTAACAGGTGACCTCACCTCATGGAAGTAACTATCACTATGGGGATCATGTGGAGTCGGGAAATTTTGCGTTCACTGCTGCAGAGACTGGTGATTATTCAGCTTGCTTTTGGGTGTCGGATCATAAGCCCTCGACCACGGTGACGATTGATTTTGACTGGAAAACTGGTGTTGCTGCTAAGGACTGGTCCAATGTTGCCAAGAAAGGGCAGATTGAAGTAAGCAATCTTCTGCTTGCACAATGTACATACCTGCATTTCGATATTTGTTTTTGGTGTTTATTCCCTTTTTGTGAATTCTGTCATAAGCGTAAACTTTGTTCTTCCATTCTTCAGAATTTTATCAGGAAATGTGATGCTAGTGAACCCAAAAACTAGGAACACAAGTATTTGTGGATTATGGATCGATACTATGAAGAACAGAGGATTTCTAAAACTCGTTAGATTCACAAAAGTACCAAGGAAAAAGAACAAAACTGGAGTCTTTTTTTTTTCATCTTCTTTCAATGTAATAATAGTTGGTATGTCTCTTGTGGGCTAGAAAGGCTCTTATTTAAAGAGTTAGCACCCTCGAAGGAACAGGATTCGATATTGAAATCTGCCAATGTTAATATTGTTAATCTGGTTCATCATTAATTAGTATATTAACGTTGTAGAAACATCAAATGTACTGGTCAAAAGGTACGGTTTTATGTCTTGTGCTGATACATTTTTTTGCCTTGTGCTAGTCGATGGAACTTGAGCTGAAAAAATTGTATGATACTGTATCATCCATTCATGATGAGATGTTTTATCTACGTGAAAGGTACGTAATCAGTATATCTTGTGTTGCTATTTCCAGCACATGTGTTGGGGTTTAACTTATATGATGTCACCTTATAATCCATGTGCATGCTTGCAGTTAAATTGGTTTTCTGTAAAATTTGAGAATGTGCTGCTTTATTCTTTCAATATTGCTTATCGTTGTCACTCTAGTCCAGATGAGAGATGAAAGTAATAGGGACGGTTTCCCGTTCCACTTTATTTTCTCTCCCCATTCTTTTGCTTCTTCTTCCTCTTTCCCATGTTAAAACATCTCCCTTTAGAATGATACCGTTGAATCCTGCGTAGGACTCAGATGGTTGTTCCTTTCGGCCACTTATTATCAGGAAACTCGTAGAGAACTGTCTGCAACTTTTTGCTATCAAACATCTTGCATTCTTAGATGCTTTTACACCAGTAACTCATTTGAATCGAAATATTAGACCCCATTTATTCTGAGATTTCTTTGATTGAGAAGAGGCGGCATGTTTCTGTTATACCTGATGTTACATTTTTCCGTTTTCCCTTGTTCTCTTTTTCTTGTCCTGGCTTTTTTCAGGGAGGAAGAAATGCAACAACTTAATAGATCAACTAACTCCAAGATGGCGGTTTTTAGCGGCCTTTCTCTTTTTGTATGCCTGTCGGTGGCTGGTTTGCAACTATGGCACCTCAAGATGTTCTTTGCGAGGAAGAAGCTCCTCTAGTACCGCTTTGTACTTACTTTCTCAATTTTTGTTCTGCAGTTATATACTCACACTATTTGTTGTTCCCTGTATTTTGAGGCCAAATCCTAAGTTGGACAGTGATTTGTTCTACTGAGAGGTTAGCTTCTAGGAAGGAGTCCCATCAGAGTTTCGGTTTGTTTTGTTGAAACTGGTTCTCTACTTTTTTCCAGAGCAAGGAAACTGATCGACTTCATCAACATCATTTGCAGTCCCCTTCAATACTTAACGTATGAGACCCTTCATCAACATCGTTCGGCAATTAAATATATCGTTGTATCAAAAAAATTGTTTATGTGGCTTTGATTCTCGTACGCGTGAAGTAGGTTGTCTGAGTTTGAATACCATAGGCATTGTTTATGACTTCCTGTTGTAACACAAGACTCATATATTAAACTCCATAATTGAATTCACCTCTATACGACTCAAATTTTCCAGCCCACCGTATGAGTTTGAGTCTAATTTATAAGAATCCAACACATTTTATCGGGAGCTGTTATTGACACTCTTACTCTGTCATTAAATTAGAATCAAACTCATTTTATCAGCAAATATTATTGTCACTTTAAAAATGCCGTTTTTTACTCATTAAAACATTATCCCAGTAAAATTTTTACCAATGTGTGCTAGTAGTGCTCATTTCTTAGTTATAATATGATATTTTTCGAGCGTCAATAACAACTCACGTTATCAATTAAAATATCAAAATCATTGTTTGTAGGAGCAAAGGTCCCGAGTTCACTAACACAGTTTTAAAATACCGTAAATACCCGAACCAATGTTTCAGTGACCAACAAACCCATGCCGCTGCCGGGGCAACAACAATGGCAAGCAAGCCTGAGCTTCAGCCTGGCCTACATGGCCCAGAACTGCCTCTCCATGACACACCTCAAGCAAATCCACGGCCGCGCAGTCGTCACAGACCTCCACCACCACGCCATCGTCCTCGCCAAGATGTTCCGTTTCGCCGCCATCTCACCCGCCGGCGACTTAAGCTACGCCCACCGCCTGTTCGACCAAATGCCCCGACCAAACACTTTCTTCTACAATACCCTCATCCGTGGCCACTCTAAAAGCTCGTCTCCTTCGGAATCGGTGGTTCTTTTCAACCAGATGAGGCTTAACTGCGTCGACCCAGATGAGTTTACCTTCACGTTTTTGCTGAAATCGCGGTCAAGGATGAAAATTGATGCTGCTCCGATTGTGGGGTCCGATGAGATTCATGGGATTGCGTTGAAGTTTGGATTTTGCGCGCATTTGTTTGTACAGAACGCATTGATTCATATATATGGGGCGAGAGGGATAACGGTTGCGGCGAGGCGAGTTTTCGATGAGGCGGTGGCTCCTGACGTCGTTTCGTGGTCGGGTTTGGTTATTGCGCATGTGAGAGCTGGGGAATTGGAGTTTGCACGGCAGGTGTTTGATGAGATGCCTGAGAGGGATGTGGTTTCCTGGACTGCTATGATTTCTGCGTATTCCCAAGCAAAGTATTCGAGGGAAGCGCTTGATTTGTTTTGGGAGATGAATCGTGAGGGAGTGATGCCTGATGAAGTCACCATGGTGAGTGTAATCTCAGCGTGTGCAGATTCCGCAGATGTAGAAACGGGGATATGCATCCATCGATATATTGATGAGAACGGGTTTTTGTGGATGGTTTCACTTTGCAATGCGCTGATTGACATGTACGCAAAGTGTGGATGCATGGACCGAGCATGGCAACTGTTCAATAAGATGAGCCGGAAGAGCTTGGTCACTTGGAATTCGATGATTTCAGCATGCGCTAACCATGGCAATGCCGATGATGCATTTGGTTTGTTTGAGTGCATGACCGCTGCTGGTGTTGCACTGGATGGTGTCACCTTTTTAGCCCTTTTAGTTGCGTATACACACAAGGGATTGGTAGATGAAGGGCTCAAACTATTCGAGAGAATGCAAACAGACTATAGAATTGAGGCACGAATTGAGCATTATGGTTGTGTGGTTGATATGTTAGGGAAGGCAGGACGACTAGAGGAAGCATACAGATTGATTAGTAGTATGCCAATTCCGGGCAACGATGTTGTTTGGGGAACACTGCTTGCAGCTTGCAGAACTTATGGGGATGCTGATATGGGGGAGAGGGTGGTGAACAGGCTGTTAGAGTTGAAACCAGATGAAGGGGGATACTACATTCTCCTTCGTGATATTTATGTCGCGGCCGGAAGGACAATGGAAGCAAATGCAACGAGGCAAAGCATGAAGGTTAACGGTGCTAGTAAGACTCCCGGATGCAGCTGGGTGGGAGCATAACGGTGGCTAGAAGAAGAGTAGAAATGTAATCCATGAGTCTTCGGCTTAGTTTGGTATTATTCGCTTGGATCGCTTACAAAACGTCAAGCGTTATTAAAAATGTAACATCTTTCACGATTGTTTAGGTGAGTTTGATTCATATACATATTAAACTCAAGAACTGTAATCACTCACCAAACTCAATTTTTCCGACCTACGAGTGTGATTCTATACAAATTGAAACCAAATCCAATTTTCAAGCCCATTGTGTAGCAATAATGTAAAATCTCACATCGTCCAGGGAGTACATCCTCTAAGCCGTAAATGTATATTCTTATATCTACCTAGCACAAAGCCTTTTGAGAACTCATTAGTTTCAGATTTCATCAAAACTCCGAAGTTGAGTGAGTTTGGATGAGTTTGGACGAGAGTATTCCTAGGATGGGATGACTCTCTGAGAAGTTCTCGTATGAGTTCCCAAAAACAAAAATGTGAGGGCGTGATCAAGGCCCAAAACGGACAATATCGTAATATGACAGAGTCGAACCTGAGATGTGATGAGGGCCCGAACCGGGATGTGACAGATAAAAGGTTCATGGATAAGCTTAACACATGAATTAATGGACTAAACACAATCCAATCCAGTTTTAAGTAAGTTTATTTAGGAGCAACGATGCACACACGACCACACGCTTGAATTCGGATAGCCTCCGTTTAGCGTTTAGAACACACACTCAAACATGTAACACAACACCATACCATTCAAAGGAAAACATGCCTAAACCCTTTTATTTAGTAGCTAAAGCACGGCATGGATCTCCCGTTAATAAGGCGGTAAGTATTATGATCACTCATCGTCATAGCTCTTGCGATGGTGGTGCTTGTGGCGGCGCTGCTTTTTCTCCTCATCGTCATCTGAGTCGTCATTTCCCTGCCATATTCAGATAAGAGCATCAGATGCAGATAACACAAGCCAGCCAGCAGTGATGGGCAAATAAAAGGAACATTTTCACACTTTCAGACCACCTTCACCAGAGATGCAAAGAATTTACCCAAAGACTACAGAAGGGTGAAGTTGATTAGGAAACAGAAACATCAAAGACCTATATGCATTGCTTAGATTCGAGCATGTAGTGACACACCCCGACCGCGATGTCAAATGAACACCGAAACCAAGACGTGTTGGCCATCATCGGGGTGGGTGACGAAGCCATAACATGCATAAAAACGTAACTAAAAAATGAAGAGATTAGCCCATCATTAATATAAATAACATGAATCTAAACATACAAATAAAATTTAAAAGAGCGAAGCGAGGTTCTCACATATTTCTTGCGACCATAGCCTTCTTCACCGTACTTCTGCTCCTCGCTCCTCCCATAACTGGGCTTCTCGTACTCCCCACTTTCCTGGCCCTCATAGCTGGGCCTCTCATAGCTAGGCCTCGGGGGTGGCGGCTCATCTCCATAACCGGTCATCCTCGGCGGTGGTGGCTCATCTCCATAACCGGTCATCCTCGGCGGTGGCGGCTCATCTCCATACCCGGTCCTCCTCGGCGGTGGCGGCTCATCTCCATAGCCAGTCCTCCTCGGCGGTGGCGGCTCATCTCCATAGCCGGTCCTCCTAGGCGGTGGCGGCTCATCTCCATAGCCGGTCCTCCTCGGCGGCTCTTCGCCGTGACCTGGCCTCTCAAACTCAGAACTCCCATAGCTCGGCCTCTCCTCGCTTTCTGGCGTCTCATAGCTCGGCCGCCCATAGCTTGGCCTTCTCGGCGGCTCTTCGCCATAACTACCCTCCTCACCATAGCTCGGCTTTCTCGGTGGCTCTTCGCCATAACCAGATTCCTCACCGTAGCTCGGCTTCCGACCATACCCAGATCCGAATTCAGCTGGCGGTGCCTCAAACTCGGGCTTTCGCCCGTACCCAGATCCATATTCGGACTCGGGTGCCTCGTACTCGGGCTTTCTCCCGTACCCAGATCCATACTCGGGTTCGGGTGCCTTATACTCGGGCTTTCGCCCGTGCCCAGATCCATACTCCGATTCGGGCTCCTCGTGTTCTGGCTTCCGACCGTAACCAGTATATTCGGAGCTGGGCTCATCAGCTTCGGGCCTTCGTTGATACCCAGACCCGTATTCCGAACCGGATTGTCCATACTCGGGCTTCCGACCATAACCCGATTCAGGCCTCTCGGATCCGAACTCGGGTCTCTCCTCCCCACCAGGCTGGAACCCATATGCCGGCTGGGGCCTGCCTTCGTACTCTCCCTCTGGATGTCCCCCGCCAGGATTGAACCCGACAGCTGGTCCGGGTCGGTGCGCGGGTCGGGCGTAGTGTGTGTACTCGTCTTCGAGAGCCTCGTCGGCGTAGGCGGAGGGCTCGGAGTACGACGAGAACTGGGGGCGCTCGTAATCGAAATCATCAGACGGCGATGAGTTGGGGTAGCAGGTCTCATCGGACGGGTCGAGAGGGCGGCCGAAGGTCAGGTAAATGTCGTATCCCCCGCCGTAGGGCGTCGGATCGTACTCATCGAAGTCAGTGGCTTCATCCCCGGCGTGCGTGTAGTACGGCATCGTTTAGATCTTGGAAATGCGACTGTTAAAATTGACGAGGGAGCGAGATCTCGGGGATATATATTTAGAGTCGTCGACAATTTTCGCATCAGGGTTATTTCCTTCTTGGTTAGTGACACGCGGACGGTTCGTGTTCGGCCTGTGGGCCTTGTGCCATATTTGTGGGCCCACTGAATTATTGGATCTAGTCGGCAGGAGGTACACTCAAATAAGAATGGGACGCATATGTTGGTCGGTCCTAATTGTAGGAAAGGATCCACTTTCTTAAAATCCACCCAATCAAAAAATTTGTTCGGTTGAAATTTGATGTAACGTCTAAAGTTATTATAACTTTTCAAGTGGATCTCTGCTTGGAGAGATTTTTCAATCTTCCCGTCACACGAAGTGTTATATCACGTGTCCCTATATAAATGATGAGTTATGTATGTTAAAAGATTAATAACTTAAAAATTAAAATTTTCCACCACTTGCATAAAAACATCTGGTGTACTATCCGTGTTCCCGTCACAACTAAAAATTTTCCCTCTGTTCGTAGCCGTTAGATCAAATTTCAACAGCACAGATTTTCTGATTTGGTGGATTATGAGGAAGGGATCCGGAGAGAATTCGTTTCCCAAATTGTATTAGAGGAGATAGTATAAATAGAGTACGAAAAAAATAATAGGCGTAGTATTATTTTTATTGTATTTTATACATATAAGAGCGTTAAATTTATAATAATATCTTACTTTAAAAATATTTTGAAGTAGATTAGCATTGAAAACAATGAATAAATCGACAATATCTTACTTTTTTTTAACCACAACTGTAAATCTCATTTCTACTTAATTCTATGAAAAAGAAAAAATCTCATTAAATTATCATTTCCAAAAGTCAAATCTTAGATGCTATTTGTTTGTTTCTAATTGAGTTAGTTAGCTAACTTCATTTCTACTTAATTCAACGAAAAAGAAGAAATCTCATTAAATTATCATTTCCAAGAGTCAAACTAACTTCATTTCTACTTAGTTATACGAAAAAGAAATCTCATTAAATTATCATTTCCAAGAGTCAAACTAACTTCATTTCTACTTAGTTATACGAAAAAGAAATCTCATTAAATTATCATTTCCAAGGTCAAATCTTAGATGATATTTGTTTGTTTCTAGTTGAGTTGGTTGGACTATACAAGAGTTGGGAACTTGAATGATCGAGCAAAGCTCTCCACTCCACCTCGAGCTGCCTTGTTAAAAATTTAAAGTGATTCATAAATTTTACGAGCCGAACATACTAATGCTAAAGCTTGACTTGTTTTTTAATGGAGCCGAACTAGCTTGGCTTGGTTCTTTCACAAGCCGAACTAGCTTGGCTTGGTTCCTTAACAAACCAAACTTCGACGAGCCGAACCCAATGCGAATTTAAACAGTTTTGAACCAGTTTACGTCCCTAATTGCATGGTTCACTTTTTAAATTAGTGGCAAATATTTATTCGATCGGTAATATTACTGAAACCATGTCTGAGCATACCGATAAAAGAACGACCAAACTTACAAAGAGTGTGACTCTTTCCCACATATTTCCAAAATGGTTTCACTAAGATAGATAGAGAGTGTAGTTGAATGGACCCAAGTTTCTTTAAAGTGATGTGTTCGAACAATTTTGACACCATCTTTGCTCGAATCACTTAATTTGGCTTCGAAAACTTTGAGCGGAGGACGATCTATGTAAGTATTCTTCAAGGCAATAAAACAACAAAAAGTTGATTCCACTGCACCCAAGCGATTTGTATACGTACATTTTCATAGGGTGTCGAGACAAATTTGCAATCAATCTAAGCAGTGAACAATGCCATAAGATCAATTTAAGAAGGATGGCACAGGACATGAGTACCCGACGGATATTAGTTACTGAATTGCTTGGTCGCTAGTACAGCATCCCGGCCACCATGATGATCGACTGCCACCAGGAGACGTAGACTGCATGCATGCAACAGATAACAGCACAACGTTTAGATACAAACACCTAAAGAAACACTTTGCAAATTCTAACGTGCATGTATGGTTGGTTCACTCTCGTTAAAGTAACGTGATACGATAAATGAACACATAAAACATACATTCATGTCATAAGACAAACTTAATTCAAAATTTTAAAACATAATGCGTTTTTTCTCATTTACATCTGGCATGTTTGATGCATATGTTTTTAATACGTTTATTTCTTTCTGAAAATATGAGTATACCCCTTGGAATTCAATTTTCATTAACTAAAACCCCCATTTGTAAAATTTTCTAATAAAAACCCAATGACTAGGCTCCAACTAAGCAATATTCATAATTAAGTATGACTTGGCAAAATTGGTATTTTTTGATGTCTAAATTACCCCTAATATTATTGATTTTGGGTTTATTACTTGTTATCTACATTTATATGATATTATTTCATTCAATTAAATGTTTTGAAATGTTGATGCAGATTTGGAAAAGAAAATTTTGAGTGTCATGATTTCAATGCATAATAATAACAAAAATTACATGACATTAGAGTTTTGTTTCCTTATATGGTTGTTTTCACATTTATGTAAAAATGAGCATTTTTTTCCTTTCAAATAATTGTAACAAGTAAATTAGCATTTATTCACAAATATACAAATGTTATTTTATTCAAAATTACCAATATTTTACATATATAAAATAACAATATAATTTCCAGGTAAAATAATACATGCAAAATAATTTACCTATGTAATAAATAAATAAATATTGTTTGATTCAAAAGTTATTTAAGCTATTTGCATACACATATATATAATAATATCAAAACGTGCCTAACATATGTAATAATACATGCAAAATAATTTACCTACAAAATAAATGAATGTTGATTGATTGCAAACAACACATAATAATAACAAATGTGCCTAGTATATGTAATAATACATGCAAAATAATTTACCTACAAAATAAAAGGATGTTTTTAGCCAATTGATTCAAAGTTAATTAATTACCTATATTATACTTAAAAATATAGGTAATTTATTTCACACAAATATAATAATAACAAAATGTGCCTAATGTATACATGCAAAATAATTTACTTACAATGATTGTCAAACAAATATAAGAAATGGAATAGATGATGGTGAGACAAGTATAAAGTGGATACTTTTGTAATTTACCTACTGAATAAATGAATGTTGATTGATTGCAAACAACACATAATAATAACAAATGTGCCTAGTATATGTAATAATACATGCAAAATTATTTACTTACAAAATCAAAGGATGTTTTTAGCCAATTGATTCAAAGTTAATTTGTCACAGCCCGTCCCGGAGGTACCTTTGACGGGAACGTGAAATGACTGAATTGCCCTTAACGGGCACTAAGGTGTGTGTGTGATATGTTTTAGATATTCATATTTTTCCTACACTATTGGAAATATTATTTAAGTTAGATAAGAATATTGGAAGGTTGGATTGTTGTTTGGTTAGGGAATTAGAAATGGATGGTGTGGATTGACTTTGGACCCCTACACCCTCACATTTCCTTCCCTCTTTCCCGTACCCTGTCTCTCTCTCCTCCCTCACGACTCTCTCTCACTCTCTCTCACCCAAAACGTACGGCACACACCCAAATCCTCCAAAACTCGACGGATCGAGGCAACCAAGGTATGCATCTTCATCCTTTCGACATTCTGAGTTCATTGGTACTAGTTTTAGGAAGTGAAACCCTCGAAATCACGGGAAACCCGAACCTCCATTTTTGAGTTACTGTTCATGCACACGTAAAATGTCGTGTTTAAGGGAATTCTAAGCTTGTAGTGAGCTTAGTGAAGTCCTAAGGAGGCTCGGAGTACTTCGTTTGAAGGATTTGGACGTCGGGATCACGTGGTTCCATTTTGGCCGAATTTCTTGAGAATTTTCCGGTGAGATTTCTTGATTTTTAGAGCCTTAAAGTAGTGTATTGTGAGTCTACATGTTTGGGGCTTCAATTTGATATATTATACGAAGAAAATGGTTGAGAAACGAAGGAGAACGAAGCATTTGAAAATTCCCCAGTTTTCCGGCCACCGGAAAAACCAGTCCGGCGAACCCGCGAGGAAGAAGGTGCGCGTGGGCGCGCGTGGACCCGTGCCTTCCTTGGCGCGTGGGGGCGCGTGCTACAGTAAAAAATTATTTTAAAAATATTTCGACGTCCGTGACGTCGAGTAGATCACTGTGGTATATTCATATACCCAAATTGAGCACCGTATGAGAAAGTTATTAAGGATTGTTGGTTAGGTGTTCGAATAACGTTTTATAGTTTTCGCATTAGGTGAAAATGTGAATTGATGATCCGACCGTTGGATCGTTACCAAACTTTGATACGTTGTAATACGTAATATTTGAGGATTATTGGAACTTACGGATTGGGAATCCGAGTTACGGATCTTCCGGAATTGGAATTGTAAGTTCATAAAATAAAATGTTAACCGTCACTTAGTTTTGGAAATTGACGGAGATCCGACCGTTGGATGGTAATGAAATTTTAGGATGTTATCCTAGAGATATATTGTGGACCTCTGGAAGTTATGGATTTAAAATCTGAGTGGTGGATCTTCCGGATTGAACTACGTAGTGACGTATTTTATATAAGTTATATATTCTATCGATATGAATTCTGAGGTTGGAATTGATTATTGTTTTAGGCGCCGATCGTCATGACGCTTTGGCGTATTGTGCTAGGGAGTTGTAGGGCGAACTCCAGGTGAGTGGGCAGTTTTGTTTTCCGTATATATATATACTTGACGTTTTCCCAGAAATTGAAATTGAATGAAAGTATGCTTTAAATGCAATGTATAAAATTATATGAAAAGTATATTGAAATGTGAATTGAGATGCCATGCATAAAAGTATATGAAAAGTATATAGAAATGTGAATCGAATTGCCATGCATGAAATGATATGAAAAGTATGAAATTGAGATATGATGCATATGAATGAATGGTGCGGCGGACGCACAGGTGAGTATCAGGTGAGTATTTAAATACTGATATGATGATGTTGATGTATATTGAGCTCAAATCCTGCACCATAGTTTAGTGCTTATAGTATTCACCGCATCGCACGCTCGCCTTGGATCCAAGTAGATGCTAGTCGTACAGTCCACGCGGAGTGGGTACGACAGGCCAGTCGCGAGAGTGTTAGTGAGATTCCGACTGGTGGGTGACCTTAGATTATGTGCACAGATGATTTATGAGAAGCACTAGAGCGTAACTTATGTGCAGAAGGCCGGACAGGTCACGCGGAGTGACTCCGGCAGAGTGTGAGAGTGATAGATTTTGAGCTCTAGGTTCAACCGTACAGGGCTATTAGAGGGCCTCCGGTTGATTACTTCTTGCACCTGATATAATTATTGTTGATGCATTCATACTTAACTGTTGAATTCCGACATGGCATGGCATATTTGTATTGAAAAATGTTGAGTTAATGAATTGAAGTATTGAGAATATATATGTATATTTATATTTTACATTTCTGGGAAAGTATACAGGTTTTACGGAGAGGGGTTACAACGTTTTGAGAAAAGTTTGGATTTGGAAAAGAATTGTTTTACTGACCCACTCAATTTTGGTTTTGCGCCCCTCCAGGTTCAGGAATCACAAAGGTGTGGTGACTACGAGGAATTCGACGGTGTTCTGACAGACTGGATCAGATTAGGACTCACCTTCGGGTGTATCAACTTATAAATTGTATAATTAAAGCTTCCGTACTGTGCAAATGGTTACGTCACTCTCACGTGACGGCCAGCATGCCCTCATTCGGGACGGGGTGTGTCATAATTAATTACCTTTATTCTACTTAAAAATATAGGTAATTTATTTTACACAGATATAATAACAACAAAATGTGAATAACGTATACATGCAAAATAATTTACCTACAATGATTGTCAAACAAAAAAAAGAAATGGAACAGATGATGGTAAGACAAGTATAAAGTAGATACTTTTGTAATAATAAAGCACTTATTTGCTATAATTATGGTGGTAATTAAATTCATCAACATAATTAGAGTGTTGTGGTACAATTGTAAATATTTTAAAAATAATAGGTATTTATTTGTTTACATGGCAATTTATTTCAAATTTGGGTTTTATTTGGATGTTTAAAACGAGATGGGTTTTTGTCAAAGAAATAAGTGTTGCATGAACTTATACCTAAAGAACCCTATTTCTTTTACTGAAAATTTAACTTTCCCCCTCCAAACTCATTTTTTCTAGCCTCTAGCCCATCATATAATATTTATCCGAATAAAACCCAATGATTAGGATCCAACTAAGCAACTTACCAAATTAAGTTTGTGTGTCTGTTTTTATAATTTTTGGATCCCTAATATACCCCATCTGAGCAAGTATGGAAAGTTCTTGTAATTTTGTTTTAATTGATTACGTGCATTGAATTTGGCGAGGTCTTGTAGCCATGAAATATGGTTCTAGATGGAGGAATTAATTTGGAAATTTTTGAGTTTTGACAAATAATTTGGAAATTTTTGAGTTTTGACAATATATTTCAATTTCAATATACCTAATTTAGTGTTTATTTTCAACAATATCTATTGTTTAATTTTATGAAAATAATTCACCTACTATGAAAATTAATTTTATGAAAACAATATCTATTGTTTAATTTTATACCTACAATATAATTACATGAAAATAGTTTACCTACTACGAAAATTAATTTTTTGAAAACAATATCTATTGTTTAATTTTATGAAAATAATTTACCTATTGTATAATTACATGAAAATTAATGTGCCTACTTTTTAAATTTGTAACAAAATTAATTTACCTACTTCTTTTTATGTTATTAGTATACATAAAATGTAGAATATATGTCCGTATATATTGGATCTAATTAGGTTTTGGATTGGAGGAGTTCACACAAAATTAAAAATATATTAAACAAATTAAATGTCTAAAAGAAACGTATAAGATATTTGGTGGCATGATTTTGTAAATAAACACAAATTCATGGACATCTTTTATCCAACATGACATCATATTTAAAATTTGGGTTTTATTTAGAAGTTATAATATATGTGGGTTTTTGTCTAGAGTTTAAGAGTTGCAAGGATTTAAATCTAAAGAACCCTTTCTTTTATCACGTGTAGATGGACTAGTAAACACATAAAACATACGTGCATGTCAACTAAACACATAATGTATGATTCCAAATAAAGAGAATAAGAGTGGTTTCTCACATATTTCTTGCGACCATAGCCTCCTTCCCCTGCAGGAGTACTCTCCTCGTCGTCAAAAGACCTGCTTTTCCGCCCTTCTCCATACCCCTTCTCTTTCCCACCACCCATATTCTGTTTCCCAATATTGTACTGGTCGCCCTCGTGCGACGGTCGGGCGTAGCTGCTGTACTCCTCTTTCACGGCCTCCTCGTCGTATGCAGACGACTCCTTGCACGACGGGAACTCCGGCTCATTGCTATCATCGGAGGCCGACCCCGACGAGTGGCGGTAGCACGTCTTCGTAGGTTGTAGAGGCCGGCCATACGTCAATCCCATGTCGTACCCGCCCTCGTACGGCGTCGGGTCATACTCGTCGAACATGTCAGCGCCGTCGTTGGTATCCTTCGTCGCGTAGTACGAGCGGTAACGCGTCATTTTTGTAATATCGAATTTTGATTAACTTTTCCTGATGATAAGAATACAAGTCTTAAATGTTGCTTAATGCTCTTTATATGGCGGTTGACAATTTCTCCTGCAAAAAATCGTGTCAAAAAGTGCAATCTCAAGGCTAAATTTACACTTTTTCGTTTCATTATTTACCATAAATTTTACAGTGGTCTGCATTATTTAGAGGGTTTTATTTAAATTTTGTCCATGTAATTGCAAATAGTAATGTTATCCACACTCGTTTTTACCTTTATTAATCGGATTTGAAATTCGTATAGAAAACTTATGAGTATTGGGCCACATGTACCTTTCTATGGGCTCTTTGGACTATGGCCTCAACTTTGGGCTTCTTCAAACAATAGCCCGGCCCATTACAAGGCCGACATTACCAGATTCCAAGAACTAAACTTTGAACATTTTTTATCTGATCCTCTGTCACTGTCGGTCCGGCTGGCTGGACCGATACTCTGCTTTTAATCTTCGCCACCATCGATCCAATCGCCACTGCATGCAAAGACACAAACTTTAACAAATTCCCACTTCGGAGAGTTCCCAGATCGTGAGAAATGGCGGCCCTTGTTCTCAGGGTCGCGCAGGATGGCTCCGGCGACTTCCGGACGGTGCAGGAGGCCATCGACGCCGTTCCTCTCTGCAACACCCGTCGCACCGTGATTCGCGTCGCTTCCGGAATCTACCGGCAGCCAGTGTACGTGCCCAAGACGAAGAACCTCATCACGCTCGCGGGTCTGGCTCCGGAGCTCACTGTGCTCACCTGGAACAACACCGCCACCAAAATCGAGCACCACCAGGTGAGGTGGTACCCTTTTTTTATGCTACCCAGTAGGGTTTTCGACACGTGGATGAAGGGTTTTGCTGACGTTGTGGGTTTTTGGTAGGCTTCTCGGGTGATCGGAACTGGGACTTTCGGGTGTGGGAGTGCTATTGTGGAAGGAGAGGATTTTATTGCAGAGAACATCACTTTTGAGAACTCAGCTCCCGAGGTTAGCTTTGTTTCTGTTCTTGGTTTCGTTTCATTATTTACAGTTCAAAGTTTGCATCTTTTGATTGCATTTCTGTATATTGAGCATGGTGAAACTTGTAATCTGAAGTTGAAATTTTGAACCTGTTGGTTTGTTTTGTTTTGTTTTGGTTTCTTCTGTGGAGTGTTATGAATGTTGGAGTTACTAGTTTCGTTGGATTAACCAGGTTTTTGACATCTTATTTGGGATTGAAGGAAAGGGGAAAAGGTTCCGGCGAGGATCCTTTTCCTGGGGATCAAGGATCCTGTGATTGCGTTTGTTCATCGTACATGGTGGCGGTCAGAAATCATTTAAATTAATTTGTACGATGAACATACATGATCACGGGATCTCCTGGATCCCCAGGAAAAGGATATCCTTTTCCAAGGAAAGGATAATATGATTGGAAGACAAGGAGATTTTTCGGTTTTGTTTTGATTAGGGAATATATGGAGTGCAAGTTCAGTGCAAATGGAGGCCAAAACGAGTTAGGGGTGAGGATCGGAGATCAAGAAATACCAAAGAGCGACCGTTTTCGTTACCTAGGATCTATCTTGCAAAAGAACGGAGAATTAGATGGAGATCTCAACCATAGAATACAAGCTGGATGGATGAAGTGGAACAGTGCATCCGGCGTGTTATGTGACCGCCGTATGCCACTGAAGCTCAAGGGAAAATTTTATAAGACGGCAATAAGGCCGGCGATGCTGTATGGTACAGAATGTTGGGCGGTGAAACATCAACACGTACACAAAATGGGTGTAGCGGAGATGAGGATGCTTCGTTGGATGTGTGGGCACACGAGAAAGGATAAGATTAGGAATGAGGATATCCGGGGTAAAGTAGGAGTAGCCGAAATTGAAGGAAAGATGAGAGAAAATCGGTTACGGTGGTTTGGACATGTGCAAAGAAGGCCTACTGACGCTCCGATTAGAAGATGCGACTATGGGACAGAGGTTCAGGGCCGAAGGGGTAGAGGAAGACCTAGGAAAACTTTGGAAGAGACTCTAAGAAAAGACTTAGAGTATTTGGATCTAACGAAGGACATGACACAGGATCGAGCACAATGGCGTTCTAAGATTCATATAGCCGATCCCACTCAGTGACTTGGATTTTCCAAGTCTCCAACCGAGAAGTTTTCCTCACTCGGAAAATTAAGGGAACACTACCCCAACCTACATGCTCCACTCAGAAAGCTTCAACATACAAGCTTCAACAAAAGAAAATTCAAAGAACTTAGCGAAGAAGGCTTTGGTGTGTCTAACACAATACGTTGAAATGAAGGAAAGCTTATTTATTGATATCCCCGATAAGCTACAACATAATATGTACATATACATGAGTCAAAATAAACACACAAGAGGGAGCCTTCACAAAGGTTGCTTAGGAGAAGTCTCAGCAGTCGGTAGAGCCCCAGAAAGAGAAGGCACCGGAGGGGGATCATTTGGAGCCTCAGTACTGGACAGAACCCTAGAAGGAGGAGGCATCAGAGGTTGATCATTTGGAGCTTCATTACGCGGTACAGCCCCAGAAGACGAAGGCAATAAATGCATTTGGAACAAACCCACAAATCTCTGATGATCAAGTAAAACCTGACCATCAGTTTCCTTCATCTGGTCAAGCTTCCTCTTCATGTTTGTAGCATAGTCATGTGCGAGCCGGTGCAACTGTTTATTCTCATGCTTGAGCCCTCTAATCTCCTGTTTGAGACTCATCACTTCAGCCGCCAATGATTCAACTTGGCGGGTTCGAGCAAATAGGCGTTGGGCCATATTAGACACAGAACCTGCACACTGAACACTGAGAGCCAGCGAATCCTTAACAGCTAACTCATCAGACCGTTTGGAAAGTAGTCTGTTATCTTTGGGAGTGAGAAGGTTCCTGGCCACCACCGCAGCGGTCATATCATTCTTCATCACGGAATCCCCAACGGTAAGAGGACCAGTAGGGGAGACGAAGGATGGGCGCCATATGTTGTCTGGAGAAGGCGGGGCTGCCTCTTCAACAAGGTTCAAGTCAAAACGACGGTCGGAGGGGCCAGACATTTTCAAAGGTGTTGAAGAGAGAAGAGGTCGGACAAATCAAGATCTTAGAAGTGCAAGAATGAAGCTTCTACTGGTGGAGATTCAAGTGTGCTTTGGAACTTAATGCCAGCCCCTATAAAAATCTGCACTCGACAGAGCTTCAGAAATCGAAGAGGCGCCTGCTCAGAAATCGAAGAGACGTTTGCTTTCTCAAAAGCTGGGCTGCTTAGAGATCACGAGGGTTGATCTCAGAAATCGAAGAGGCGTTTGCTTTCTCAAAAGTTGGGCTGCTCAAAGACCTCGAAGGCTGATCTCAGAAATCGAAGAGGCGCTCGCTTTCTCAAAAGCTGGGCTCCCCAGAGACCACGAGGGCCGATCTCAGAAATCGAAGAGGCACCTACTTTTCTAGCCTTGTCAGCACCTGTCACACGCACACTCAGCTTTGCAGAAATTATGGGCATTCTGTCGAAGACTTCTGGTGAAGTAGAAAACACATGAATCTTACTGTTCAATCACCTACTTCCCACACGCAACAATAGCTCATGGGTACCACAGATAACTTTGCCAAAGTTCTCTGCCAAAGTTGAGCACGTGAAGCTTGCAGCTCCCACTACATCGCTCTGACCAAGAAAGGTAAAAGAATATCAAAGAAACAGCACTAACAAAGTTTAGACACATAAATTTTGAAGGTCTAGCTACCATATTATTACCCACAAGGGTAAAGGAACAATACCACTGCTGGATAATTGGAAAGTCCCTGTTTGTCAACCTCTGTGCTTCGTGGCAAGGTAGACTAGCAAACATGCCCAACCTTTACTCACATTCGAGAAAACACTCCCAACAAGATTGCTTGCTCCAAAATCGAAGAGACACCGTCCTCCGAATCTCGAGAGCCAGACTCCCAACATGACTACTTTCTCAAAATCGAAGAGAGGGTAAAGGAACAGTACCATTGCTGGATAATTGGAAAGTCCCTGTGTGTCAACCTTTGTGCTTCGTGGCAAGGTAGACTAGCAAACATGCCCAACCTTTACTCACATTCGAGACAACACTCCCAACAAGATTGCTTGCTCCAAAATCGAAGAGGCACCGCCCTCCGAATCTCGAGAGCCAGACTCCCAACATGATTACTTTCTCAAAAATCGAAAGAGACACTGCTCTCCGAATCTCGAGAGCCAGACCCCAGCATGATTTCTCAAAAATCGAAGAGGCATCGTTCTCCGAATCTCGAGAGCCAGATACCACAGACCACTTTTTCAAAGTGCTCTGACAGAGTTAAAACATGTGAAACTGGCAGCTCCCACTACCGTGCTATGACCAAGCAGGGTAAAGGAATAGCATTACTACTTGTTAGGGAGACTCCTATATATGTCGACCTCCATCCCCAACAGACAGGCAGACCTGCAAAAATGCTCAACCCTTCATCATATCTGAGAGGGCACTCCCAACGAAGCCTTTCGAAATATTCAGCTTTCTTTCCCCCCGATAATACCTCTGCAAACAAGCTATACTAGAGCAAGAATATCTCATATCATCAGGGTTAAAAACAAGAGTATCCCATATCATGCTTTTTCCCTGTTTTTTCCTTTGGCCTTGTTTTTACCTGCAAGACAAGGAGAAAGAGAGCAATCAGTCAGCACTTGGAATCAAGCTTCCAGCCAAGAACTGACTGCCTGGAACCCCTTACCTGATTACTTACCTGGCATTGCTCTCGAGTACTCATCTTCAACATCTTATGTTTCCAGGGAAGATTCCGCATCTGCTGCTTGAGGAACAGATAGGGCAAGTGCGAAGGATACAAGGAAGCATGTGGAGACAAGCGTAACAGCACACGTGCCGATACATCCATTACTCTGTCAAAAGCAAAAGTATCCCATATCAGCAGGGTGGAACGTACTCTAGATTTGATGGACTTGTTTTGACCCTCAAATTCTTCAGTCGGCCTTATACTCTGGAGGAAACCAGAAAACCCTCCAGCTCAGTTCAAGAATAAGCCTGTGGAAAGTTACTTCTTCAAAAGCAAAAGTATCTCATATCATCTCTTCTCATTTTTTCTCTTCTCTTTATCCTTCATGCTGCTGCAAGATGGGGAGAAGGTGAACAATCAGTCGGAGCTCTGATTGCTTACCTTGTCTGTCACCTCTTTCAGCAGACCCCCTAGCTCGGCGACTTGGGGGACTCCTACTACA